GCTTAACCGACTGCGCCACCCAGGCGCCCCTCAGCAGTTTCTTTAGACTGGAGTGAACACACCCATGGGCAGCACTTGTAGGTAGGACCAGGTCACGGAAGTATCGAACACAGTGTCCTCCTGTCTTTGTTACCTCTTCCGTAATGATACATGAATACTGTAGCTTCTTCGAGTTGGGAAGGTATCTGAGCAAGACCCTGGACACCCACACTCAGATACCCCAGAATAGGAGGTGGTTGACCTTAGTCAGCTATAGCTGAAATCTGGAGGAAGACACTGGTCATGGGCCCACAAAACAATGACAGTTGGTTATCTAGGCTTCCTTTATGCCACTCCACGTGGACTTTGGTTTGTGACGACGCAGGGCGGAGTTAACGCTCTCTACCTACACGAGTTGTGCATTTGTCATTGAGATGCCTTAACAAAATTTGAACCGTTTCTTATCACAGACTGAAAAATCAGCCCTATCACCCAGGCCTGCTGGAGAATATTCTTGTTGGAATGATCTCTGAAACTGCTATATAAGGAGAATATGGAAACATTTCTGCCTGGGTTCTTATTGCTTTCTCTGTAGAGAGATTTGCTTCATAGCCAAATGTCCAATCCCACTTTTTTCATTTATTGAGTGACCATATAATTCATTGTACTATATCCACTTTTATGTGGATATATTATAGCATAAATTGGGCTTGTTTTTAAAAGTTGTCTTGCAGGAAGAAAAGTTGTCTTGCAAGGTTTATTGGATATACAAGAATAAAAAAAAACCAGTTTAGAGTTAAGTAAATTGGGAAGTATTTCATCCCATTAATAAGGTTTCTCAGATGAAGTGCACATAGTGTTATGCAGTTATGACATTCTCTAGTTCTGCTTTTTGTTTCCTTTCCAAATACTGATCCAAGAGTATTACCCCTAAGGAAATTCTTAGATATTTTCAGCAGCATAAATTACAAGTTAATGCTAACACAAGTATATGCTGTACGCATTGAAGCACATATTTCCTTACTTTGGAGTGTCACGTGTGATTCCTACATAATCACACTTAATCCTCTCCTTACTTAGGTATATTTTACACGTACATGTGGGACTGTAATTCACGTCAGCTGTTACCCCATCACACTAATAGGGAAAAGACTCTTGAAGAGTATTGCGTATATTTTTACTCTAGGATTGTCCTGTTTTCATTTGGAATGTTTCATTAGTTTCAAAGAAACTTAACCCTAAAGAAAACAAACACTTCCTTCACTGTTCATTGTGACCTAGCAAATTAGAGGTTTATTTCCTTACTGATCAACTTGTCTTCTTTCAGTATAAAGCCCTTTGCTTCAGTGCCGGTTTCCTTTAAGAGATAAATAAGGGACCTGGGGAAGCTGCTTTGTGGCAGCAGGAAACGTGCAACCGACAGCAGGAAACTTAGGCTGGACGGGGCTTCACACAGGATGAAGATGAGACTGTGTGAGCGGGTGTGGCGCGCGGGCCGTCCTCCTGCTGAGAGACTGAGGAGGTGTTTATGTGAACCGAGTGTGTAGATCGGTGTGCGGAGTACAGCGCCCTCATCAAAGTCTTCAGCTGTATGTGCCCAGGCGTTCCGTTTTGTGTGGGCTGACGTCCGCAAGAGTCCGTGGGCAGTTTAACGATAGCTGATGCTGTGCTGTCGCACACTGAGACCTTTTTTTAATGTATGAAAGTGATCATCTGCTTCGATTTTCGCAGTCACCTGTTTCGTTCTTTTGTCAGGAGCAACGTTTACATTTCCTAAAGCAGCAGGAGCGCCGTCAGCAGCAGTCTATCTCTGAAAATGAAAAGCTTCAGAAACTGAAAGAGCGAGTTGAAGCCCAGGAAAACAAGCTGAAGAAAATCCGCGCCATGAGAGGACAAGTAGACTACAGCAAAATCATGAACGGCAACTTGTGTACGTTTGTGCCTCGCCCGGCGCCCGTGCTCAGGCGTAGATAAGATGAGAGTCCAGCTTCTGGACGCTTTGCACGCGTGGACCAGTGTCACATCTTGCTATAGAAAGCGCAGTGACGTGTTGCTCCGATACCTGCATCTCCAAGGATGCGGATAGGTTAAGGGATCCTAGAAAGTCTCTCAGTGCGGTGGGCAGGCCCGTTGTTAACATTTGTAACATGTTAGCCGCCCTCTGCGTTGGGGCCACGGCGCCGTGAGACTCCACTCATCAGGAGGGTCTCTTTAAATTGAACGGCCTAAACTTCATCTGTGTAGTAAGATAAACCATACAGATGCTCATTTCTTACTTTTGTGTGTGTGGTTCTTTGTTCCATTATCAGTTTGGTTAGTGCCTACTTTGTGTGACAGTGACCAGCAAGACAGACTTGGATTCACGCCCCTTACAAAGACTTTGGTCTGTTGGTGCATTGAGATTCCTAAGTGGCTTGGCCAAGCTACTCTTTGGACTGGCTGCCCCAATTAAAGCATATTCAGTAATTAGTGCACACATAGTTTGCTGTATGGGCAGTCACATCATGTATTCCAGAGGCTTGTCAGAAAGTGCATTGGATTACGTATATCACAGTTTTCTCCCCAAAGTCTAGCGCTAGGTGATGCCACAGCTGAGTTGAATGCACAGAAGTGAAGAAATCACAAAACCAAAATAACAAAATGCCACGCATGCACACAAATATCAATAAATGATGTCTTTTTCTTTATCGGGGGGACATTTTAGCTGCCGAAATAGAAAGGTTCAGCGCCATGTTCCAGGAAAAGAAGCAGGAAGTACAAAGTGCAATATTAAGAGTTGATCAGCTCAGTCAGCAACTGGAAGATTTAAAGAAAGGAAAGCTGAGCGGGCTCCAGTCTTACAACGGCAAGCTGGCGGGACCGGCAGCGGCGGAGTTGAAAAGACTGTACCAAGAGCTACAGGTGACTTTGCTGGGTGTGGGGAGCAGTGACATTAAGGCCTCTTTCAGGCTTTCTTCTTAGTAGTTTAATAGCAGGCACAAAATGTACTCAGTAAAAAGGATTTTTTTTTTTTTTACCGTTTATTAACTTTGAGAGGGAGAGTGAGAGCCAGCACAAGCCTGGGAGGGGCAGAGACGGGGAGAGAGAGAATCCCAAGTAGGCTCCAGGTGTCGGCACAGAGCCTGACGTGGGGCTCGATCCCACAAACTGAGATCGTGATCTGAGCCAAAATCGAGTCAGACAGTTAACCTACTGCGCCACCCAGGCACCCCGGGGACAAAGAATTTTTAAAACAGCATTGCGATTTAATTCACATAGCATATGGTTCACCCACGGCGAGTGTACAATTAGTTGGTTTTGAGCATCTTCAGAGAGTTCTGCATCCACCACCACGGTCCATCTTAGAACGTCTCCACCACCCCCGAAAGAAGCCCCATCCCTCTTCACCATAACCCCACACCCCCTATCCCCTAACCTGGCAACCGTGAACCTGCTGTCTCTGGATTTGCCTATTCTGGAAATTTCATATGAGCAAGTCATGCAGTGTGTGTTTTTTGGTGACTCTTAGCACGTTTCAGTGCAGAGATTCAGTACGGAATTTAATTGGCAATATGATGAACTGGGGGAAAAGTTAAGCTTTCGGTGACGTTTGATGTCTCTGTGTACCCTGTGTTTTGATGAGGGAGATGCCTGTTGTTAAATCGTCGCCTCACTCAGCCTCAGCTGCTGTCACAGACCTCCACAGACTGGGGGACTTTAGCCACAGACGTCGATTTTCTCGCAGCTCCATGGGCGGGGTGTCCAAGGGCAGGGTACCGGCACATTGGGTTCCTGGTGAGGGTTGGCTGCCTGCTGTGTCCTCACAGCTCTGGCCTCTCTCCTTCCTCTGATGAGGCACCGACCCGTCACGGGGGCCCCACCACCAGCTACCATCACACTGAAGGCAACATAGGGATTTGGGGATGACCCATTCAGTCCAGAACAGTCCTCAAGATTTCTATTTCTCAGAAGTTATCATTCAGCAGATGATTTTTCAAGCCAGAAACAAGTTTTACAGTTCTGTTGGCACTTGCCAGAAAAGTTATTATATCATTTTTATGAAATGAAAATATGTAACTACAGAGAGTAAAATTACTTTTGTTGCTGTTAAGTTCTCTAATGTAAATGCATAGAAATAAAGAATGTATGGCTTCTTTTACATTTTAAGCAATTATTAAAAGTTCAGGGGTTTATTTTAAGTTTATTTATTTTGAGAGAGACAGAGACTGTGTGAGCAGGGGAGGGGCAGAGAGAGAAGGAGACAGAGAATATCAAGTAGGCTCCGTGCTGCCCGCGCAGAGCCCAACGTGGGGCTCAAACTCACAAAACCGTGAGATCATGACCTGAGCCAAAACCTAAGAGTCGGATGCTTAACCTACTGAGCCACCCAGGTGCTCCAGAAGTGCAGGGTTTTTAAGGAATTTTTTTTTTTTTTTTTTTTTTTTGAGGCGTGATGGATGTAGTATATTGACTTACACTGATTCATTTGCCAAGTTTTCTGACTGCAACCTAGGTCACAAAGTCCACGTTGCCTCCTGTCTGGCACACACATGTGCATCTGAAAGAGCTTAACAAGGCTTAACCTTCTGTGTGTGGTGCACACTGATGCCTTCTGTTCTGTATTTCATTTTTTTAAGTGCTGGCTACAAGCCGCTAAAATGCCACCACACATTCCAGTTGGAGAGCAAGGCCATCCTTTGTGAATTTCTTGCCGCCTCCACAGTAGGATGCCTCATTCAGTGGACTGTGTGGGGTGGAGCAGTCACCTGTCCTTGGGTCCCTAGAGGACATGCTCGGTAAAGTGCCATTGCCAAGGGCCACGGTCATGATCTTCCGTGGCCGTCACTAGTACCGGTCGCTCCGTGTGCTCTGAAGAAGACGTTTGCTTGCAGACACAGAAGAACTCCGTTCTGGAGCCATCCACGTACACCTGTGGAACATTTAGCACATGGGTGACCGTGCATTTTATGAATACACATAAGTACTTAACGTTACTTTTTCTTCTGTTTTTACTTTACCTGGCAGTGAGAATTTGTTTAATGCAAATCATGAAAGTCGTATTTTTTATTTTGCAGATTCGTAATCAGCTTAACCAGGAACAGACTTCAAAGCTCCAGCAGCAGAAGGAACTCTTGAATAAACGCAACATGGAGGTGGCCGTGATGGACAAGCGGATCAATGAACTGCGTGAACGTCTTTATGGGAAGAAAATTCAGGCATGTGAGAAAGAAAATATTTGTGTAAGATAAGCTACTAAAAATGATTCAATGCACAATTGCACATCTTCACTATAATGGCATTTTGCTCCCCCATCTGCCACAGCTGATAAAACATAGATTGGCCATAAACCATTAAAAAAAAAAAGACAGTAGAAAACTCTTTCCAAAGCCACATTTATTTCCTGGTATGTGAAATCAAAACCTCCCTGGCCACAGCCACAGCCACTGTCTCCCTACCCCCATCTCCCCTGTGCTGTTGTGTCTCCACCCTTGGGGAAGCTGTCGTTCTGGCCTGGCAGCACCCGGGCATGGTCGGTCCCACTCTGCCACTTGAAGCTGTGCCACGTGGGCACATTCCTTGACCTGTGCAGACTCGAGTCCTCGCTGCAAACTGATATGTCCTGCCTGCCCCAGCAGTCGTCGTGAGCATTCTTAGAATAACCCATATGGGAGGGCTCTGTAAACTCTGCAGCAAAGTGCTATATAAAGGGTTAGTGCTTTTTAAAAATCTTTATTTGGTATTTTGACTTTCAAAGGTAATAAATGCTCATTGGAAAATGAAAACAGTGCAGAAATACTTAAAAGAAAATTTGAAAGTTCCTGCCACCCTATTCCCATTCTCCAAACAGGATAGTTTTAATGATTCCAGTCTTTTGCTTAATACAGACAAAAAGGTACTTAATTTTTAATTGAAAATGGAATTGTAGGAATTATATCATTTGCACTCTTCTCCTCGTCTTTTTTAACTGCAACATGGGTATCTTTCTAGGTCATTACCTCACTCCTTTTGCAGCTTCTCTACAACACCCCACATCCTGGGGCCTGTGGCCCCTTTCCCTGACCTCCTCGCCGGGTGTCCCCGAGTCCTGCCGTTAACTCTCGGCACATCAGTGAGCAGGGGCACTCCAAAGAGCTTGGGGGACGAGGCACTGCTATGCGTGGCTCCTGGCCTGCCTTCCATGGTGGCGCCAGGGTTTGAAGGAAGCAGTGCCCGAGTGCAGGGCTGGAGCGGGACGGGGAGGTGGGCGGGCGTGGGCACCAGCTAGCTGGGAACAGCTCCCCAAGTGTCCTCGTCCACACTCCGTAATTGGTACTTTGACAGTTTGACAAGTAACCTCTTGTCAGCTGCTGCGGCTCTGGAGGCAGCTCCCGGGAGGCCAGTGAGAGCCCTTCTGGGGCTCTGCCTGGGTGGGCTGGGGTGAGGGGTGGGGACTGCCATTTCTTTGTCCTAATGAGTGGTGTCAGGTGAAATCTCTTATTTACAAACCAATCTACCCCCCCCCCCCTTTTTTTTTAAACCAGAGAGTTCGTGGTTGATCTGTAGGACTCTGTGTTTTCAAATGACAGTTCTCCCATACTTGCCTGGCAGGGGAGATACCATGGTCAAATGATGGTTCTCCTTGCTCTTTCGAGTATCGTCCTCTTGCTCACACAGCACTTTCTGGCTGTGCTCCATCAGTCAGGGCTCTCCAGAGAAGCGGAATGAGCAGGGATGTGGAGAGTGATTGCTGGGTGTATAGACTGACTTTAAGTAACTCGCTCACGTGGCTGTGGAGGCTACATGCCTGACACCTCCAGTCCGGACACGCAGGGGCCCTTGATGCCGCTGCTCAGGTCTGTAGGTCGTCTGCAGGCCCAGGGGCCTCTTTCTCCGAGCACATCAGTCTTTTCTCTCTCAAGTCCTTCGGCCGATTGCACACGGCCCACCCACACAGTCCGCTTCATTCACAGTCTAGTGATTTAAACGTTGGTCTCTTCACAGCAGCATCTAGGCCTGTTTGAGTAGATATCTGTGGCCTAACCAAGTTGACACATAAAATGAACCATCACAGATGGCTAGGTAAACGTTACTTCTTACATTCCACCTGATAGTTGAGGTGATCCTGAAGAATGTGGTGCCTCTGCAGAAATGTGTCTCCACCCAAAGGTCCTAGGCCCCTTTGGGCAATTGTCAGAGTCCTGGACCCTCTCCCTAAAATGATACATGCTCATGGATGCAGAATTTTGCAAACAATTGTAGGAGGTTATGGATCTCTTACAGCCTACCTGGGGTCCCTAAGGTGTCCGTGACTCTCCATTTAGATCCCTGTTGTGGACCCTCTCGTTGTTAGGCAGCATCACGTGATCAGTGTCCTTGGCTATAGTGTGGTGTCCTTGCCGAGAATGGCAGGGTTGTCTTCAGGGCACTGGTCAGAGGGTCTCCTGGTTCCAGGCCCTGTCACTGTGCCCTGCACGGCTTGTTCAGTCCTTACACCAAGCCTCAACTTGACTTTACAGACATGGGCACTGAGGTTCAGAGCCATTAGGTCACTTTCACTTGCCCAAGGCAGCACAGTGAATAAGTGGCAAAGCAGGATTTGAAACCAGGCTCAGAGCCCAGGCTTTGACCGATGCCTCTGCCCACCTCGGGGAGAGAGGGAGAGCATCCCCCAGTATAGAGGGTTCCGCAGAGGTGTCCTGGGAAGCTGTTCTATTCCATCGCCAGCCCCTGTTTCTCCCAGCTCGCAAATAGGTAGGAGTTGTCAAAGAGAATCACTTGTGTGGGACTGTGGGTTGAGGCCCTTCTTTCAACACTTGCCCTTTCTAGATACTGATTTTTTAGGGTGATGGAGCTTCCTGAGGGCACATTATTTAGTGAGTGGCTCAGGTGAGAGCAGTCAGTCATACTAGGCTTGTGATTTCTTTAATTTAGGAGAACCTTAACTCTCATTTCTTCCCATTTTGTAGCTGAGCCGTGTGAATGGCACGTCGTCACCACAGTCGCCGCTCAGCACGCCTGGCAGGGTTGCTGCAGTGGGGCCTTATATCCAGGTCCCCAGTGCCGGTGGCTATTCTGTCCCAGGGGACCCCATAAAGCCCCAGTCTCTCACTATCGCCTCAAGTGCTGCCCACGGAAGATCCAAATCCGGTGAGTGGCCCGGGCCCTCGTCTTGGAGGAAAGCAGGTGAACAGGGAAGGGGCACCCTGGGGGCCAGGAACCTCAGAGGAGGCTGCCACGGTACGCCCCAGGCTCTGCCCACCCTCAGTCTCCCCCAAGTACTGTCTCCCCCTTGGTCCACTAGGGCGGTGTTGGGGAGCTGTGTGCCACCACGGCAGCGATACAGCCCCAAAATGAGAACAGATTCTCTTTATTGAGCTGAGTGTCTTTACTGTGTGGCTTTTCAAACCACAGAGTACTTCTTCGGACCCGATCCGCTCGTGCCGCAGGTTTTGTGTCCGGGTGAGGGCGCTTTCGCCTGCTGCCCATCCCAGCAGAGGGGGTAGCCTGTCTGTGGACAGTGCGCTGGGGCTGGTCTTCCCTTTCCCCACTCGGCGCGTTCATAACCAATCCAGAGGTCTGCAGACCATCACTCTGGCCCTCGGCCACACCGAATCGTGCGGTGGGACCAGCACCGTGCTGGCGCGTAGCACTCCTGGGGACGCTGGGAAGCCTTGTGCAGCCTCCGGTTCCCAACCAAGGGCAGGCTGGGTTCTCCGTGGGGAGGCTGCTCTCCCTTCTCGGAAGAAGGCGGCTGCTTTCCAAACATGAGGAAGCCGGAGCTGCTTTGCAGTAAGATTTTCTTTACGCTGGGCTGAATGTCTCCCCGTAAGACGTGGAATGGCGGAGCACAGGTGCAAACCGCACGGCCTTCCCTCTCTCACCAGTCCAGGGCCGGGCCGGGCCATGCTAGGCCGTGCTAGGCCGTGCTGAGCCAGGCTGAGCCAGGCTGGGCCAGGCCCCTGTTGTCAGGATTGGGGGTGGAGCTTGGCAGTCTTCCGTTCACTCGTGTCCTCTTCCCTGTTGCCCAGTCTGAGCAGCAACAAGTCTGCCACTCCTGCTGTGGGGTGTCAGGGCTTGTTGTGACCCTGGCAGGATAAGCGTCACCAGCCGTCGTGGGCCACGCGCCCTGGCTGGGCTCTCTCCACGGCCGTGTCTCAGCAGCCACGTGGAGTGCATGGTTGGTGCGAGTCTCTAATTGCAGCTTGCTTTGAGAAGCGGTTATTTATAGTTTGAACCGCCCCACTGTGGGAGTAGGTGTTTGTTTCCAGGGCAGATAATTCGTACAGCCAGCTACTTCTCTGCTCACTTTGTTTTATTATTTATTTATTTGTTTGTTTGTTTGTTTATTTATATATGTATTTATTTTGGGGAGAGTGCAAGTGGGGGAGGGGCAGAGAGAGGGGGACAGAGGATGCGAAGTGGGCTCTGTGCTGACGGGCTGACAGCAGCGAGCCCGACGCGGGGCTCGAACTCACAACCCACGAGATCATGACCTGAGCCAAAGTCGGACGCTCAACCGACTGAGCCCCCCAGGTGCCCCTCTGCTGACTTCCCAAGCCAAGGACGTCTCCCATTCCCCTCTTCTCTGTGGGTGTGTGAGGCCGGGCCGCCTCACAAGGGTTTTGAGGAAAGGACACCCTTCTGGGCCTGGAGAACGTGTCTTTCAGAAGTTCAGCACCAGCCTTGTTCTTTCCACTGCAGTGTAAGGTGACCGCACACAAGAAACCTGTGTCCCCCACACTGGGGACAGAATCCCGCCCAGGTGTGGAGCTGGGGTGAGAAACCTCCCCGTGGGGACCCTAACTCATGCTGTCGACTGTCCTTCTGGTGCCGTGTCACACAGATGGCCATGGGAAGCCCAGAGTGACCAGCTCGTGGACAGTACCAGACCTCGCCGTCGGGCCTGACCGCAGCCCCTCAGGGCACTCTGCAGACTCGTTGCAAACTGTACGTCAGCTGGCAGGCCCAGTGGGGGCTCTGGCCCTTTCTGATACTGCTGAATCAGCAGTCGTTTATTTTTCCAAACTGAGAAGGGTCTGCTCATCACATCTAGGCTTGAGAAAAATGCCACATAATCACAGTCTGTCCCTTCCTTCAACAGACAGGTGTGAAGCTTGGGCCGGGCCACACACCACACCCTCCTCAGGAAAGGGTCTGACAGATGCTGGCACAGCAGGGGATTTTGGGTTTTGTTTTAGGAAATCCAGATGATTTTTTGAGTTCGTTAAAAACTTTAGTTTTACCTCCTGTGCGAGAACCTCCCATCGTACTTGAAGATAATTGTCCCTTTTAATCCTTTATAGTAAAAATAAAGGCTCTTTCCTCTGCACCCCCTGTCCGAACACGGAAATTCCCGGTCCCTTTTTCAGTCCCTTTGGGGCTCCCGTTGTGGATTTTTGGAGCAGCTGGCCGGCGCCACTCTCTGAGACCCCTGGGGCCGGCCCCTCCCTCCCTCCCTGGTCTGCTGGGCCCTGCTCAGTTCCCCATCGGCCCAGTTGCCACCTCCGCGTATCCTGCTGAGCCTGCGTGCTTCTGGCCCACACCCCTCCCCCCCCCAGACGGCCCCCAGATCTAAGGTACGGCCGAGGGTTCCTGAAGGCGCACGCGCTTCTTGCCTGGAAGCGGCTGACCGGACGCGTGGAGCAGGGTGGTCCGGGCTGGGGCCTCGGACTGCCTCACCAGCACCCTTGCGGCCTGGCTGGCGCCGCGTGAGGCTGCTGCTGACAGGGCCCGGCGAGGGCGCCCAGAGGTCACTGCACGGGAGGGCCTTCCGCACTTGGGCTCGGAGCACGCTGTCTCCCGGGCCTCAGGTGTTGGCTCTGGCGCTGTTGTTCTGAGGGGGAGTGGCTTTCCTCCTGCTCCTTAGTTATGCCCACCTGCTGGCGCTGGCTGGGTGGGTGAGGAGAGAGGATGTGCTGTTCCTGTCAGAAGCGCCCAGAGCAGTCCCTTCTGATTGCTTTCCGTTCCCTGTGGCTGATGGCTGGGTGTTCTCCACTCGGGTCCAGTCCGGCACCTGGGCCTGCCCTGGCAGCGGGAGCCTGAGTCGGAGGCTGTAATGTGGCGCCTGCAGGTGCTAGAATGTACTCACGTGGCTGTGGCTGCTTGGAGGGGTTGTTTCTGCACCCTTTTTCAGTTTGGAGAGTGCCTTGTTAAAGAGCAGCTTTTCAGCAGCTTTCCTAAAAACCTGGACGTGACTTTGCTTTCTGATCACTGCAACAGAATGATAACTGGCTACGCCAGTCAGGGGAGCTTGTACTGGCCTCTTCTGCTCATAAGTTATTTTGAGAGGATAGAAGTTTCTAACAGAGGAAAGTCAAATTTTTCTTTTAATGTGGAAGGTGGTACAGGTCAAGCCTGTTATGAAGTCAAAGGATAGATCTTTTGTTTCTATTGCTGTATGTGACCGTTGCTGTATGTGACTGGTTTTGTAAGTAACGTTTGAAAAGTAAGTGCTCAGGCTCATTTTATTTCCTGGTGTCGATGTAGTCGATTTGACCTGCATTTAGATAGGGGCCCGGGAGCGTTTCCACCGTCCTCTGGCCCCTCGCCTGGGTTGGAGCAGCCCTGTGCACGGTGACTGAGTCTCTGTACACGGGAAGGCGGTGCGGGCGCTGGCGGGGCCTGGCCAGCAGACGCCGCCCTTGGTCTTGCTGTGCACAAGCCTGTGTGCGGGCAGGGGTGGCCGGCCGCCTGGGTAACGGAGCTCCGTCAGAGCCGATCTTTGTTTCTAGCAGAGGGCTGTTCCTAGGTTGGTTCAGCTAAATCGAGGAAAAATTATACTCAAATTCTGTGTTCTTTTCAAGCCAATGATGGAAACTGGCCAACGTTAAAACAAAATTCTAGTTCTTCAGTGAAGCCGACGCAGATCGCCAGTGTGGACTGGAAGGACTCAAACGTGGAGGGTCCTCTCAAGCAAGGGGCCGTCTCGAGCCAGCCTGTGCCCTTGTCAACTTTAGGAGCCACAGAGAAGCTGGTAGGCCGTTTGTCCCTGTCACAAAACACAGACAGGGTCCTCACTGTATCACTGTTCAGCCTTTATCTTCATCTGAGGGCTGTGAGGTGGGAGGTGTCACGAGGCAAGTTAATCCTGCTTGTATCTAAATTATGACCGAGTCTGAAGAAGACTGTGGTCCCTCAGCACTGAGCGCCTGCGAGTGGAGATGTGTATCGCTCAGGATTGTTCCATCATGGGCGGGTGATGGGCCTGATTCCCACGGTGGGCCCTGTGCCTGGTCACAAGCTGATTTGAAGGATTACAAGTCCGACTTTGTTTTCTCTTGTGACTGTGGCTAGAAATACGCTTAACTTTTCAAAGGGTAACTTTGTTTTTCTTCTTAACATCTCAATTTAGGGCGTCGAGATCGGTAAAGTGCCACCCCCCCTCCCTGGTGTTGGCAAGCAGCTGCCTCCCAGCTACGGGACATACCCCAGCCCTGCGCCCGTGGGCCCCGGCTCCACAAACTCCCTGGAGAGGAGGAAGGAGGGCAGCTTGCCCAGGCCCGGCGCAGGCCCGCCCAGCCGGCAAAAACCCGCCCCGCTGCCCACCTCGGGTGGCCACACGTCTGCTTCCTCACAGCAGATTCAGCAGAGGATCTCTGTGCCGCCGAGTCCCACGTACCCGCCGGCGGGGCCGCCTGCTTTCCCAGCCGGGGACAGCAAACCTGAACTCCCACTGACTGTGGCCATTAGGCCCTTTCTGGCTGATAAAGGGTCAAGGCCACAGTCCCCCAGGAAAGGACCCCAGACAGTGAATTCAAGTTCCATCTACTCCATGTACCTCCAGCAAGCCACGCCTCCTAAGAATTACCAGCCAGCGGTGCACAGCACCTTAAATAAGTCTGTTAAAGCAGGTACAGTGGGTTTGTACCTTGTCTTGGGGCTAGGGAGTCATGCTTTTACTTAAAGTGCCAGTCCATAGCCTTACATTCGGGTCACAGACTATTTAGGATTAAAAACAACTTTTTTTTCAATGTTTATTTATTTTTGAGAGAGGCAGAGCACAGGTCGGGGAGGGGTGGAGAGAGAGAGAGAATCCCAAGCTAACAGCACAGAGCCCAACTTGGGGCTCGAAGTCAAGAACCGTGAGATCATGACAGCCAAAACCAAGAGTCGGACGCTGAACTGACTGAGCCCCCCAGGCGCCCCTGGGATTAAAATTTTAATTCTTGTGTACAGCGTGGCCTTAGGTGTCCATGTGAGTTTGGGGTAAAAGGCAATGGGTGGAGTTTTGTAGCTGGATCACATGGGAACTGACTTCCTGCCTCAGCACCTGCCTTCTGTGGTACTCAGGAAGCCCGGTTCCCAGAAGGAGGTTCCTCTTTTTCTCCTGCTTTGTGGAAATTTGTGCAGGGGCTTTCCAGGGGCCGGTGAGGGTGCTCTGCCCAGTTGTGGTCCTCCTGGCCTCCTGGAGGTGACTGAGCCAAGCCCCTGGAGGGGAGGCAAGGGAGCATCTGCCGCTTTGGGAGCTGGGGTGTCCTAGGAAGGGTGAGAGAGTAGAGCCTGGCCCCACGGATGTGGAGGCAGGAGGTGACTCTGACCTGCACAGCGGGGTCCTGCGGGTCAGTTCTGGGCTTGGGCCTCCCCACAGACTTTTGGGCAGAGGCTGCAGCTTCCAGACTCCTGGGAGCGCCCACCCCCCACCCCCCGGCCAAGCGGAAGCCCGGCTACCTGTGGCAGGGCTCTGGCCCCCTGCCCTACAGTGCCTGGGCCAGCAGGCCGGGCCTTCCTGTCCGAGGCAGCCTGCATTCCGTAGCATGAGACTTGGCCTGGGGGGCAGATGCTGTTTAGAGGTGGGTCTTTCTCCCCGGCTTAGAAACAAGGAAGGTTGGTTTGGGGTGGGGAAGCTGGGCCTGCAGCCATGTTTTGTTTTTGTTTTTTTCATTTGAAAAAGCCTAAATTGTGGAAGCCCAAATGTAAAAACCAGTTAAGAAGGGCACTCTATCTTCCAAAAGGAGTCAGTGGGGTTCTTTGGATAGAGGTTTCCTCCGGGATTTAAAGGTAGGACTCAGCAGCACCAGAGCAGACGCCTGTTCTCCGTAGGAGCCCACCTCCTGTGTGACCGCAGGGATGTGGTGACTAGACCCCTGGCCCCGCAGGATGCTCTAGCTGCCCCTGTCCTCTGTGTTTCCTCCAGTGTACGGTAAACCCGTTTTACCATCCGGGTCAACGTCCCCGTCACCCTTACCGTTTCTTCACGGGTCGCCGGCCACAAGCACGTCGCAGTCCCAGCCGCCTTCGGAAAGTGCTGAGAAAGAGCCAGAGCAGGACAGCCCTGCCCCTCCTGGAGACGGCGGCACCGGCACGGGCACTGTGGAGAGCCTGCCGCGGCCGCTCAGCCCCACCAAGCTCACGCCCATCGTGCACTCGCCGCTGCGCTACCAGAGTGACGCCGACCTGGAGGCCTTGCGCAGGAAGCTGGCCAACGCGCCCCGGCCCCTAAAGAAGCGCAGCTCCATCACGGAGCCCGAGGGCCCCGGTGGGCCCAACATCCAGAAGCTGCTGTACCAACGCTTCAACACCCTGGCCGGCGGCATGGAGGGCACCCCTTTCTACCAGCCCGGCCCCTCGCAGGACTTCATGGGCACCCTGGCCGACGTGGACAATGGAAATACCAATGCCAACGGGAACCTGGGAGAGGCTGGCCCCGCCCAGCCCACAGCCCCGCTTCCCTCCGAGCCTGCCCCGTCTTCGGACGCCAATGACAATGAGCTCCCTTCCCCTGAACCGGAGGGGCTCATCTGTCCCCAGAGCACCCACCAAACGGCCGAGCCTGCCGAGGACGACAACAACAACGTGGCCACAGCCCCGTCCACAGAACAGGTCCCCAGCCCTGGGGCCGAGGCCCCCTCACCGGGGGAAGACCAAGCCCCCCCACTGCTGCCCCCCACCGTGCCCCCGCCTGGAGCCTCTACGGTGGGTGTCGTCCTAGTCAGCCAGCCAGTGTTTGTAGAGGACCCGGCTGTGTTAGCCATAGTTCCGGGGACTGTGGGGCTTGCCAGACTCGTCCCCACCCTCACTGAGGCCGAGGGGGAGGACAGTGCTGCAGTCCACAGGTGGGGCTCTGAAGAGGTGTGGAAGGCTGCAGAGCTCTCCCTGGAGGGCCCAGCCAGGTTTCCCCGAGGAAGGGGAGCTGCCGTCGGGATTTGAGGGCCAGGCGGCGAGGGGGACGAGAACCTCCTAGACAGCCTTCTGGTGGGAGCTCAGCATTGGTGGAGCAGAGAGGGGGAGGTGAACGTCCACGGGGGTGGGTAGGAATGAGTTGCTGACTCCCAAGCTTGACTATCACCCACCGTGGGTGCCCCTGAGCAGTGCCGTCCCCCCGGAGCACGCTGCATGTGGCACAACGGGTCTGGCTGGGCCCTGGGAGTGGGCGTTCCTCTCGATGCCAGGGGCCGCTCAGCCTTGCCGGGTGCACACGCTGCCCACGGCTTTCGCCCTGTCCCTCCTCTCCACCGCGGCTTGGTGCGTTGGCACATTACCTATAAATCAGAAGCATGTTTCCTTCCTGGCAGAGCAAACGGACCAACCTGAAGAAGCCTAACTCGGAGCGGACAGGGCACGGGCTGAGAGTCCGGTTCAACCCCCTGGCGCTGCTCCTAGATGCTTCTCTGGAAGGCGAGTTTGACCTGGTGCAAAGGGTCATCTACGAGGTGAGTGAGCGCAGCCGCAGGCCTGGGCTGCCCCACCTGCTGGGAGGCCGGGCTCACGAGGGCCTTGTGTCCTCAGGTGGAAGACCCTAGCAAGCCCAATGACGAAGGGATCACTCCGCTGCACAATGCCGTCTGCGCCGGCCACCACCACATCGTGAAGTTCCTGCTGGATTTTGGGGTCAATGTGAACGCTGCCGACAGTGATGGCTGGTGAGGGCCCCTGGGGCACGTGGCCTACGGTAGGAGGAGGCCCCCGGTCCAGGAGTCGGGCGAGGGCAGAAGCGGACACAGGTGGGCGGGCCTACTGTCGCACCCCGGGGCCGCCTGGCCTGGTCCCCTCCTCCCCACTTTGGTTCCGTGAGTCCTCTTGTGAAAGGCACAGCTGGGATCGTGTCTTCGTACACGTGCTAGCAACTTCGCGGGCTGCGCGTTTTGCAAAGTGTTACTCTTCGTCGGGTTTGAAATGGCCGGATAACCTGCGTGGCAGAAACTCAGTCCCGCTTTGCGGTTGCCTTGTCGGTGTTTGCCCGCAGGGCCCTTCCGCTGCTGTGCGGGCCCCCAGGCCTCTGCTAGGTCTTGTTGGCAATGTCAGGCTCTTGTTGGTGTGGTTTGAACATCTGGGGTTTTTTAATTGTGGCAAAATCCGCCCAACGCCTACCGCCGTGGCCGCGTGAAGGCGCGTCAGCCGTGCGCAGCGCGCCCCTGCTTTCGTGTGAGGGGCACCTACTTGATAGGCCGCTTCCCAGTCCCTGCCCCCCCC